CACATACACACACACACTCAAACACACACACATACTCAAACACACACACACACATAATTATATATATATTTATATATATACGTACTTTATGTATATATACATATATACATTTATTTATATGTATATATATATACGTACATACACACACACAAACACAATATACATACATATATATATATATATATATATATATATATATATATTTTTTTTTTTTTTTCTTATGTACACACACACACACACACACACACACACACACACACACACACACACACACACACACACACACACACATATATATATATATATATTGTAGATAGAGAGCGAAAGAGAGATAAGTAGTTATATAAATATACATAAAGATGTATTTGTATATAAATATACATATATATATGTATACACACACACACACACCACTGTTCATGGACTTTCTGGTTCTATTTCTTATCATACGTACAAATACAGGCAGTGCCACCACTAACTGTATTTCGCCCTTCTACTGTGCAAATCGAATCAAGACTGCCTACTGAATCACCTTGGGTGGAGGAAAGGATCTAAGGTGGTTTTTTCTACTATCGAAGTTCGTCTCTAAGTCAACCGGAAATAGCCAAGACAAGTGGATGTTTCCAAAACTTTTATTACAAAAGTGAAAAGAAAACTTGATATTTTGGAAAACTATGAAATCAGTCGGCGAGGAAAGTTTGTAATAAAGTCTGTCTTCTCTCACAGACAGAACAGAATGCTTGTAGATATGGTTAAACAAGCTTGCTCCGAGTCATCCAAACAACTGTCTAATGAATGGAGGAACTATGGTGTAGAGTGTAAGCCTTCCACAGTCAGAAAAAAAAACATTAAATGAGATGGGATACAGTGCATGGAGGCCAACTAAGGTGCCAAAACTAACTGTAGCCATGAGGAAGAAAAGACTGGCCTGAAGTTTTTAAATCCATTCGGATAATTATGATACAAGAGTAAGACTGGCCGGGAAACAGTCAAGATATAATTCGTATAGAATGTATATGGAAACATATGTTGAATATACTAACAAAGTTGAGCTAAGTGGACAATTGATAAAGGTATTGCATAAAAAAACTAAAAATCAGGGAAAAGGCCCGCCCATACATTCGAGGTATGCCAAGACGTGTTGCTGCAGTGGCTAAGGGTGGCTATTCCGGTTATTAACATCACGTCTTTAATAGTATATATATATCAGAATAGTATATATATATACATACGTAAATGTATATATATATATATATATATATATATATATATATATATATATATATATATATACATATATATATATATATATACATATATATATATATATATATATATATATATATATATATATATATATATATATACATACTTACATACATATTCATATATATATATATATATATATATATATATATATATATATATATATATATAAATGTATGTATATATAAGTATATGTTTATATATATATATATATATATATACATACATATATATATATATATATATATATATATATATATATATATATATATATATATATATAGACATACATATTCATATATATATATATATATATATATATATATATATATATATATATATATATATAAATGTATGTATATATAAATATATGTTTATACACACACACACACACACACACACACACACACACACACACACACATATATATATATATATATATATATATATATATATATATATATATATATATAAATGTATGTATATATAAACATGTATGTTTATATATATATATATATATATATATATATATATATATATATATATATATAAATTTATATATATATAAATATGTATGTTTATATATATATATATATATATATATATATATATATATATAAATTTATATATATATAAATATGTATGTTTATATATATATATATATATATATATATATATATATATACATATATATATATATATATATTTATTGCGAGAATCCTGATACCACTGTTCACCACCAATTTGTCAGGGTTGTGTTAGTTAACGCACGGTCTGGTTGCAGGCTTTATTGGTGATGTAGGCTGCTGTTAGCTTAGCGTGAACGGAGGTTGAAGTGGCCAGCTTGTGCCGAAGTAGAGACCCGGGCAGCGGGTATGCCCGGAATGGCAGGGGCCCTAGAGGGAGGCTCCCGGGAGGAGGCAGCGTCCGAGCGAGACCGTGACTTGAGGAAGTCAAGGGAGCCCGGGTTAAGGCGACGGTCTGGGGTCATAAGTGATGGGGGGGGGGGGATTATGGGCGAGGGGGCGTGAGTATGTAAGCGAGGGTTGGAAAAATGTTAGCGTGCAAGGAAAATAAATATCAATCTGTCTGCACGGACAGAACTTTCATAAATATGGCAATATAACTACTACTACAGGGTAATTCCAACTTTAAATCAACTACTATGCTAAATTGCAGAAGTGATACTACTTTCAGTATGTGAAATTATGAAATGGTGACAAGTCTGCCACGGAACAGGCAAAGCATGTTGCGAGCTTATCGGATCAGTTTATCTTGGGAGAGATGATCGGTCGATAAGACAACCGACGTGGTTGTAAGTTATATTAAACATAAAAGTTCCCGGAGGAAAAGTGGTCAATACCCCACCATATTTTCAGGTTAAAGAGGGCACTACCGGGACGAGCACATACGTAGCAATAAACTACGCAGATTGGGCATCCCATCCCGTCGGGAAATGCCAGCGCTAAGCCTACATAGAGTCGTTAAACAATGGGCGCAGTACGTCTAAAGACATTCGAATTAATACTGATTACGAGTCTAGAACCCAGCGTGGGGTCGTCACGAAGGACCATGTAATATTGATGAAATGACGTTCGCGATGCAGAATAACTAATGAAAGAAAGGCTGTGGAAATCAGTCAGCATCTGAACGATTGTCATGAGGGAGGAAAGACAGAAAATCGTTAGGGTGACCGAGCAATGTCGCATGGAATGATAAATTATGAAAAAGAAAATCACAAACAATACGAAATCATAGTAGCTGATATAAAGTGATCGCTAACACCGAGAGACAATTGAAATAGAATAAATAGAATGTATACATCTAATCGTAGGCGGAGTCAAATAAAGTTGGCCGTTTTACCTAAATGATCCAAATCAGGTTGCTATCCGAGTACTCTATACGAAATAGCTGAAGCTAGTACAAACAAAATTAAATGTGTGAAAATGAAGCACGTTGTCATCGAAAAATTAAATAAACGAAACACTAAAATATGAAATAAGGAGAGTGCTATGGTATCACAGGAATAATTTATGAAAAATAACTAAATATATATATATATATATATATATATATATATATATATATATATATATATATATATATATATATATATATAAACGTAATATCAATATAAATGAATTGTGCTGCAATAAATACGGAAAAATAAAAATGTGACGATAACGAAAAAGAACAACGGTAGTGAAAATGGGGCCTGTCAAAGCTAAAGTAGTATTATCCCTCTTTTGTAAATTGCCAGTTGACGATATCAAAATCACACACACAAAAAAAGCAAACATGAAATAAACTCGAAAGATATATGAAATAACAGAGTATGGCATTTCACACACAGGCCAAACGTGGGAAGAAAATGACCAAAAATAAAATAAAATGAGTTTAACATTTGTACACAGAAAGCCTATTTACGACTTTTGCAATATGAAAAATACTAATAAAGAAAAAAAAATTGTTCTTTGCCTAAAAAATATATATGACAAGAAAAAAAAATCTCGAATGTTTGAAACTGAACACTAACATCCGTGAAAGGCATGTGTAAAGAAAAATGAGAATCACACTTACAAAATATAATTAATTTGTTTAATTAGAATGAACTTTCAAGCAAATATCGCGACACTAAAATACTAAAACGCTAGTGGTCTTTACAAATATATTGAAATTAGGTAGAGAGGGAGGGAGAAATGTGGAATTATTCACCATGGTTTAGGTACTTTAAAAGCATCCCCCTAATGCATTGTTAACCGAGTAGAAAGAAATACAATTAATAATAATAGACGAAATTTGGCTCAATAAAGGCATACGGTTCACGCAACGAGGAATATGATAACAGGAAAATATGCTTAGAATGTGGCAGTATTCTTGTGTATACCCACGCGGGCATAGAGCATACGACAGAAAAAAAATAATTTGAAGAAAAATACACATATGAATATACCCACATAATGAAATATACTACGAATCTATGCTTTAGCTTAGCATAGATCTAAAAAACACACCTACGAAAATCACTCTCGAGTAGATTCGAAGAAACATGGTAGATTAGAAAAAAAAACACTAGCATGGACACTTGGTCAGATAATTAAAAAATACAGCACTTGTTGAAAAAAAAGAAAAAAAAGAAAGAAAAAAAAAAAAAACGGTACAACATGCACATGTGGGGAAGAAAAGAAAAATAATTGTCTATGGCTTGCAGTTTTATTTTTTGGTCAAAAGGGGTAGTCGAGCTGCATAGGCGTAAGAGCCCCCCAGTCGGGTGAATTCGGGCAATTTTGGGCATGGGCGTAGATAGGAAAATTCATAGAGGGGGCGAGAAATGAAGATATCCCGACAAAAAATTGACATAATTCTCATTTTTTATTATTTTGAACATAACATAAGGCCACTAGAACTAAACGAAAACCATCGTTATTTTTCCGACAAGTGCAGAAATTTTCCGACAAAATGGCAGTTTAGCCTTATAGGTGGGTTTTTGCCCCCCCCCCCCACCCCCTCTATCTACGCCACTGGTGGCATTCATCACAAATTTTCTGGCAGGTGAAATTTCTCCTCCTCTTTCACTCGGACA